TTTCATGTATATGGTTAGCGTATCATCTTGCCACAAATCCAACGCTACTTTATACAAAAGCCATTGTTTGTTACAAGTATTGCAATATTAGAATTATTATTAATACACAGCGACATATACAATAAATGACAACAAAGTACAGGAGCGGAAGTGTGCGGGTTTTAGTGTTTTGATTTGCGGTATATTCTGCCTGTGAGTTTTCCGTTAGTTGTTAGTTTGTTCGCATCAAACGTTTTCTTAATTAATCGCCTAGTAAAATTCCTTGCACACGCTCGAAATTTATTCATTTTTGCAGAAAAATTAATTTATCTTGTACTCTCATGATCGACTGTTTGTTATAGGCTTTATCTCTAGTTTTATAGGCCAAACAAAGACAAACATACCACTGCTCGAATCAGCGTGAAAACTTGTATTTACGGATGGAAAATTGATTTCATAATTGATTTCTATTCTTGCGATTTATGGCCTTTGAAGGGCAAGCCGCTCAAAATAATCCTTCACGTTTTCCGAATTTTCGAGGAAAGTTTTCTTTCGAATTAATCTCGGACTCTCACGATTGACTTTTTGCTGCGCCTTATCTCTGGTTTTATGCGCCCAATAAGGACAAAAATACCACCGTTCGTTTTAGCGTACGAAATTGTACTTACGGATGTCAACTGTATTACTAAACAACAGAATTCTAGCGATTTATGGCCTTTGGAAGTCAAGCGTGATTGCATTGACAAATCACTCAAAATTATTAAACTAATTAAAAATGCAGTACGTTCGATTCTTGGTAACTTTGGTATCGTTGGTTTTCTCGTTTTCAGCCGTATACCAGTCGATACGACTAATTTTTCTCGTCATTTTGATAGTACTATTTTGAGCCCAAACTATTTTATTTTGAAGGTTTTAAAGTGCAGTTTTAATTAGCGAAATTGTATTGTTGACAACTCGCTTAAAATTATTAAACTGATTAAAAATGCAGTACGTTTGATATAGTATTGGTATACCAGTATATTCATCTCACTTTTCTCTTCATTTTGATAGTATTTCATGTGCTAAAACCTGGACGATGGACGTCCATCGTCCATCGTCCAGCGTCCATCGCAACCTCGTACCCAGGGCCTTTGCGCGGTTCAGAGGCTCTGGTACGGGAAGCAAAGGCCCTGGTAAACACTGGTCACGTGTGTCCAAAAATATTGGACATTTCGTAATAATTTAGTTTCCAATCCGGGGGGAGCGGACCCGATTGATTTTATCAAACATGGCAGCGCGAAGGCGCGACGTTTTCGAGTTTTTATATTATTATGATAAATAAAACTTTCCTAGTGAGATTTAAAAGTGGGTATATATTATCTATGCATTCTACGAGCTTTCTTTCAACAAATTGTGGAATAGCTAACGGTAATACTTATCAAAGATCGAAGGACGAAGATCAAACTGAGCGAAAACTAGTCGAGTGATCGACTGTCTTTAAACTGTCTATTTTGTATCCAATGCAGCTGCTTGTGTGCGACGTTTTATAAAGAATTAAATAAACATTGTTGATTATAAGTAATTTTTATGTATTGACCAAAGAATATCACTTGGGATTTTATTGTACTTTTATGGAAGGATAAATCAGAGGGGACATGCATCTATGGAAACGAAATTCTTCATGTGTATTAAACATGTAGTTATCAAAGCAGAATATTTTGAAACAATTAACTGGTCGAGTGACAGGTTGGTTTCCGTATGTATGTAGTTTAAAATACAGTTGTGAATGAAATTATACATAGTATCTTGAAACCTTTGTGTGTGTGAGTTAATTTCATATTTATTTTGTGGGATGTATCATCTTTATCATGTGGGATGTATCACCTGAATCATGAGAAATAATATACAGTGATCTTGAAACAACAAATTTACTACAAATCTTATATCAGTGATATGTGACTTAGGAGTTTTAAAGGCAAATAACAGTCTGTATACTGGGTGTGCATTCACCTATTTGTTTACATTTGCAGTTACTGTACATCGGTTCATGATTTATGAAATTTGAACCAAAGCTGTAACATAATATTAGTCACAGCACAAGTCACTAATAATTTTAGGGTAAATATTTTTCTGAAATACTTCATTTGTCAGTTGCATCTTATAGTATATACTGTAATAATATCTTGAAAAAAAGCTGTAATTGTACCCTGTCTAATAGCTTTGGTTCAATACAATTGGCAACTGGGCTGTCTTAGAATTCATGAAAGACCTTTGCTACAACCCCAAGAAAACATGCCTTTTATCAGGAGATCAATTAGCTTCAACCAGATTAACCACACAAATGTTATTGTCACCATTGTGACTACCGACACTTTTTACAAATAATACACCGATAATTGAGCACCGAGACTCTGACTGACATATCATACTTTGTTTTCAAATATCTTTGGCTTTGGTTAAAAACCAACAATTATACATTCTTAAACATTTTAAATACTTCAGCCTACATAATTTCCATAACGATGGTCAATTATTGCACTTACTGAGAATACTATAATTACTTCTTTACCATAAAAATTCTTTTGGGTTTAATTGAAGTATTATTCACAGCTGGTCTAAAAAATTGGGTGTTTTGATGCATCATACTTTTGTCAGTAAAATTAAAAACCTATTTAGTCCTATCCAGCTATGCAGAGTTTTATTTGTATTGAGGAGGTAGGGCTTAGAGAGACACTTAATGAATGATATGGACACTTAATGAGAGGCTTAATGAATATGGTTACACTGAATTTTATCAGTAAGTAAATTTCATTTTTTACATCCTGAAACCAAAAATCACCATACTATGCATGAATTACATATCACTTTCACTTGTCACAGAGTGAACATACCAAATTCAAACAACATTCACACTGTTTCTAGATGAAATAATTAACCGATTTTTTGGGCAAACAATATAATTCATGAGGGGAAAAAATAAATATTTATATGTGTGCACATAGTTTCAAGATCAGCTAACGGGATTGAAACCAGCTTTCCCAGTTATGCTTGGAGCTGATGAAAACAGTTAGTTTTGAACACAAAATGGCATGCGACTTAATTCATCTAGGTGGCAATATATTGCCTTCTCACCAGCACAATTGATCAAGTCATACACATTCATTACTGCCAATCTCTTTATTATTTATGTCTCATTACAAATACAATATATTTTCATTATCAGCAGTATCATTACAACTTGTGCATCACCAATATCATCACAACTTGTATTTCACTATCATCATCATTATTCTCACCATTCTAATTTTATTAGTCAATCAGAATGAATAAAAAATTTCATATTTTACACCACTCGTATATTACTTAATTGCCCAAGGTCAGGGCCATTTCACATCACTCCAGGATCTGAATACCCTGCAATCACCTTTTCGATATAATACTAAAAGAGAAACAAATGACAAATGTCTTACTGGCACACTGGAATATCATAATTGCCATAAAATAACTGTCATTTGAAACCACATTTTGCTGTTAGTGTAACAGCACAACTGCTCAAGATTGCAAGGTAAATAATAGGGATGTAATAAGGCCAGTATTACTGGTAATTGTCTTTTTACATTTTGCTCACAACCAAAGTCCAATTATATGCAGCAAAATATCCAGCCACTTTTTATTACTCACTTAATCTTACACTTGACAAGTAAAATTGTCTGGTGTTGGACAGAGAAAAATAACAAAGTATGCCATATTTGATTATCCCATATTCCCATTACTGTAGTGTGACCACACAAGACTCCCTTGGATGGGTAAAATTGGGGGCTATGTAGATTTAATGGCAAAAAGTGGGGGAAACATTTTCTCCAGCCTGTAAAATTTATGGGGGCCATTGGAAATTTATGGGGGCCATTGGAAATTTATGGGGGCCATTGGAATTTTATGGGGGCCCATTGGAATCATCAACCAGAGTATTGAGGTGATAAAGAAAAGAATACCCGACTGTAAAATTAATGTAATAAGTTTTGCATGTATTCATTTATTAACTTTTGACTACTGTAATGGTCAGCCAGTTAAATAAGTATCTTACTGAGGGTACTGCCTAACTATTTTACATGTCAAAGAGAACTCCAGTTATGAAAGATTGAATATTTTCTGAGCAAGCTGGAACAGAAAATTTTGATTTTAGTGAACTAAGTGAAGGATGGAGATAACCAAAAAATATATCCGGCATGAAGGAGGGTTTATTAAATATATCCAAAAGCGGAGATGAAGGAGTAATTAAATGAAGAAAACTAATTATACAAACAGACACGAATCTGCTGGAATTTAGGATATATAAACTGATAAATATTAAAGTGGAAGTCAAGTCCGTTCTGCGCATTATTTCTGCGCATATTGTGAGGGCCCTCGCCATTGGAATGTTAATTGAACAGCGCATGCGCATTTCGTGTATTCTTATCTGATTATATATTCAAGTTTCAAAGCAACATGGAGGAAGGCGAGAGCTCGTCCAGAAGTGTTGATAGGGACGAAATTGAGAGCTTTCACGTAGTTACTACCGAAGATAAAAAGGTAAAACGAAAGGGATACCTGGCCAAAAGGGACGCGACAAAGATTTGTCTTTATGATGAGCAATTTACGCGGTGGCGGCAGCTAAAAAATGATTTAAATGTGAAGACGGACAAGGAACTAGCGACCTTGCTTCTTGATAATTATTCGAGCACGAAGCAAGTTTTAACGACAAGGTAGGAAAGATATATTGTATTTATAGAATAATTCAAAATTGGATTAAATAGTGGTTATATCTCCTTTTATAAATCTTGTAGCGAATCGGAAACGCAAACAGATGAAAGTCATCAGGTCACAATGGAAACTCTA